TACAACATTAATGTTTCTCTACAGTTGTAGCTCACTTGCTCACCTTCTGCCAAAAACCTTGCACATTGTGTGAGCAGGTGTTGTGCAGAAAACACTTGGAAAAGAGGAAACAAGCGAAGAAAAATCTGGAATCTATGCAGCAATCTGAATAAGCAGCATGGGCCCAAGTGCCGAAACAAACCAGCTGGGTCCCTAGACAGCGACCTAAAACTGAAAGAAAACTTCTATTATAGAATAGAACCTGTCTTAATGGTCCGATAGATGTCATGTGACTGACCCCCTCGTGTGCATTTGTTTACAGCGCCATGTTGGCAGAAGAGTAGTGATATCGGCAGAAGGATTTACAATGGACAGCAATGATAAAATTATCATTTATCAGTCAACATGCTGAGCAAGTGAATTCACATCTGACTTTGATGCTAAGGTCATAATGAGACACATGTGCAAGATGGACAGTTTGGATTCTTACTAGGGCTCGGAGTCGTACACAAAATCTACATCCACTACTGTTATTGACATTAGTGACCAGATCAACTGGAATGGGTTACTCATTGCACTTTTGCCAAAAAAACACATCAGAGTCCAACAAATGAAACATCCACTTGCGTGCATTTAGAGTATGTAGCTCGTTGTCTTTATCAAAGCTGACAGCGGCGCGTTGACGCAGCATGTCAACCCACGGAAAGATTTTCCTTTTTAGTTTAGTCGTACCATGGCCAACAATCGTACCATGATGCGCTTTTTTTTTCTCTTTAGTCCCATTTTATACCCATCTTTTGTGTTGTACTAGTGTGACGCTAGCAAAAATGCGAAGCTAAATCGTCTCTCAGCTCCGGTTCAAGTTTGTAAACTCCCTTTCATTTGTTAGCCGGCCTACAGCCATCCAACTACTTCAAGCGACTGCTCTAGTGTAGTGAATACATGGCACTAAGGCCATGTGCACTCCCCGTGTAAATACTGTTAAGTCAGACAAAAGGAGAGGGGACGTGTCATCCAAAACTTCCTCTCTGACGACAACATGCTATGACCATTCTGACTGGAATGGGAAGATTCTTTTCTGTCCTGCCAAAATGGCATTGTTTCCATTTGGCGCAGTACACTGTGGAATGCGCGACGCCAACGTCAAGATGATGTGGAGCCATGAAGCAGAACCAAAAAAATCCTAAAGATCCAACTATGTAACAGATACTATATAGACCCGTCACGTTCAGTGAGGAGGCAAAGGGCCGACTACAGGCTACATGAAGGTGAGGGGATGTGAAACTGAAGGAGTCAAGAGGAACATTTGGGAGAAAGCAGATTGAGTGGGTGGGTGTATAAAGCATTGGAAAGAGTTTGAAAAGCTAGTTTTATTTCGTCTGCCAAGCCACATGTTTTCTCTTCGCGCTCGTGCTTCAGTTGTGCAATGTGTGAGTCAAAGTACAGGTTGCAGACACTTCTCATCTTAATTTTTTAGCATATTGATAAGCCGCCGGAACCATTAGTTGGCCGCACCTCGCGCGGTCTTTGGCTCTTTCAAAAACCCGCCGCCCCTTCCCCAAGCTCACACCATATGTTTGCTATTTAGCAGACTGCTGGCGTAACACGCCTTGCTTTATGACTAAGTTTTATAAGCAATGATTAAGGCTTGTAGTCGCTTGGGAAACTAAGATAGGGCCCGACGAAGTGTCATGATTACATGTTTATGCGGGCAACATGGCAGATGACAGGCCGAACAAGGAAGCAATGAAGGAAATGCCAACTTGATGTCACACTGAACTGTAAAGAAAGGCGGGTCATTCTGTAAACCATTTTCTTTTTGTATTTGCAAGAACTTAAATCTTTGGAAACATAGTAGTCATTCACAGTAGTCATCGCAACGTCGTGTAAAATAATTGTTCCAGAGAATTATAACAACATGAAAGCTCCAATGTCTATTTCATCCCTATGCCCTGCCCACTCAATTCAATGACTGATCATCTGATCGACTGAGGGTGACACATGACATAAAGGGGACATACTGACCTAGAAAGGGCTTTGATTCAGTACGCCATTTAGTTCCCAATTTGGCAAAACTGTAACATGGACAATAATGGAAAAAAAACATGGGCATGGCTCGCTTTAATTGGCTCAATTCATTGACAGACCACATCAAACAAAACTCTGATCGGCCAAACAATGTTTGCACAGCTGCCAGGCGGCCGCGTACGAGCTAACTATGGCATATATTACACAGCACACACCACAAAAAGTGCTAACACAAAGACACTAAAGCGAAATGGAATCTTACGCAAAAACAGCGCTCTGGCATAACTCTCCTAAGCCATACCAGAGTGGGAGGCACAGCAGAAGAATCGGGACGTCTTAAAAAGGCTCTCAAGACGAATGAGCGGAATGCCACTTTGAACGCAGCATTTTTATCAGATAAAAGTTTGCCGTCTGAACTCCTGCTCCTCTATGCCACCATGCATGACGCATGATCAACAGGAACATTCCTGTCTTTCGCTAAACCCTGACCTTAATGCCTAACCAAGACAGCTGGAATTTTCTGCTCACTCCAAACTGGAACTGACTGACAACTTTCTCTGATATTAGATTCGAGAAAAACAGAAAATGAAAAACTCCCAAGGCCTTCCATTTCAAAATAAGGGTATATTTTAAAATGGAAGACCTTGGATTGGACTGACGAGCCTTATTTTAAATTTAACATACAAATATTATGCCGGGCTATTACAACAGTGGACTCTTGCAATCTGAATTATTTTTAGTAAATTGCAGAGATTGACTCAGTGTCCATGACGACATCAGGCAAGTTTTCAGCTCGTTGAGCATCGAAGGCCACATCTGGCCCATCCACAGTGTCTGACCGACCGTCACGTTACTTAAGTCAAAATAAAACATAGAATATGCTATGTTTTCATTTTAAAAGTGATGCATTTATTTTGATGTGCACGTATGTAGATGGTGCAAGCAAGCAAGAGATATAACGTCTATGCAACCTTGCCAACATAGCGACATTTTGGTCCTAATGTTGGTAACATTCTTATTTCCTGCACGGTCGACGGAAGAGGGCCTCGGGTATTTGCTCAGAAAATCGACAGTTTCATATACTGTACGTTGTCTGTGTTATAATTCATCACCGTATCGTCTTCATATGTCACTGTCAATTATATCTTTTGTCCCAGTCGGCCATCGATCTGTATATCAAATGATTTGGAAGTCTTAATTCGGAACGGCTTATGAGTTGATTGTTTGTGCTCAAAATGTCAGCACTTTAAAAACATTTGGAAAAAAATTGTTTTCACCGTTTTTATTTTCATGTCGATGAACTTTAAGGATGTTGAAATCTGACTTAAATGAATGCATGTAGAGTCAACTTTTTTCACGGCAACAGTTCCACACTAAAATGGATTTCTTCAGTTTCTATTCTTTTCTATCGCAATACGAACAAACTAGAAGTTTACCAGTGTCCAGGAACAAATTGGGTTTGAGCCACTGTAAACCATTTCAAAATCTGTGTTGGATTCCAACTCTTGTAACTTGGCTTAATAAGGAACTGATTACATGACTGGAGGAGTACAAAAATGCAATGTTGGCCTTCATTGAATGACCCTTTGACCCTGACCATTTTTGAGTTCCCACCCCTGGAGAGAGCTCAGTGACTTTGGCTAGATTGAAACTTCACACTTGTCAGATGAAGAAATAAAAGTATATTGAAAGCTTATGAACCCATTTAGCTTATTAGCATTATGGATATGCAACATGTGCTTGCAGGTGTTCTGGGAAACCAGGTGGCCACAGAACGAGCCCTTGAGACATCCAAAAAGTGGAGTTGTTTTAAGTTATTATCCCCACCGGTGAAGATTTGTTTTTAGGTTGTTTAAATGAGCTTTGTTGAAATTATGCCTTTGTATCTTCAGGCTAATTTCTTCTGCTACTTTTGCTTGCAAAATTTAGGCCCATTGTTCTCGATCGGAGCAGGACTCTTTTACTGTTTTAATTAGCACACTTTTGTTAAAGCGTAAGAGAGTAAACTGTAGGTGCACAAGAGGATGCATTCATTTCAAGTACAGTATTGCGTAAGCCTAAATTGTTTTTGCAAGATAACGTGCACTGTGTTAACACGATCACTGGAATGAAACGTCGGCATGGGTACTGACAAGGAGAGGGCCTGACGCAGTAAGTCAGGCCCGACTTGACATGATTCACACAAACCAAGTCAGTTTTTAAAAACCACATTTGAGCTTCGAAGGCACAGGAGGCTAAAAGCTGCAATTAAGTGCAAATAATGCAAATTCCTAAAAATAAACAGACACACACAAAGCGAGTGAAACCCACAAGGCTTAAAACCTAGCTGACAACAGTTGTGGTATTTCTCCGGATTGCCCCTGGAGTAAGCCAAGAGTTCCAGGCAAGCGGGGTCAGCAGATAGGCAAACCTCAACACTGCAGATTCATCACCTCAGCCCGCCTCAGAAAGCCAAGCGGCGAAGAGAATGGGGCTACTAAAAGGAGGGAGGAGGGAGGGACAGGACCAGGGAGTTGGTGATGGAGGGGACGCTCGAGCCTCCCTTGCTGACAGCAGCCTTGGCGGGGTCAAGGATGAGAGTTAAGCTGGAGATAAACACGGAGCTCGATTGGGATCAAAGCGAGAGTGAAATACACACTCAAAAATAAAAGCAACGCACAACACATGGACGTGGGAAAGAAGTTAAGACGTCAAATGGGCGTGCGAACTTTTCCCACTGTTGCATCCTGGTCTCACGTCTCTCGGATCACAACATGATTAATTCCATCATGAAGCAGAAGCTATTCTATGATTGCGTCACTGTCAGATGCGCTGGCATGATTGCATTTTTCTCAAGCGGCGTCCCACATTGAGCAACCGTGAAACTGAAATACGCACGTCATGTCCCTGGTAATTAGCGCGAAACGAATGGATATGATGTACCGTCGCTACGTACCCAGCCGCACGACACACACATGTATTGTTTAAAAAACAACTTCAATAATTCGACTCACCGTCCATCTTTTCAGCCTTTATGATTGTCAACGTCGGCTTCATATCGACAGCTGCCGTCATGATCATCAGAGCAATGTGCCGCTTCTATTCTAGCCGCTCCGATCACTCAGTATCAGGGAGGGAAACTGGCGCGCGCCGATCGCTTTGAATGGAGCCTCGTTCTAGTCTCGAAAACTCAACCAAAATTCTGGTTTCGGTCACTTCCAAACTTGGCTGTCTTTCTCCCGGCACACCGTCTGCCCACACTCTTTTTTTCCTCGTTCTTTCGCACACACTCACACGCTCACTCACTCCTTCCGCTCTGTCCCTAACGAGGGGCGTTGCATCGATGGAACGACGGCAGCTGAGATGGGCGGTGCTTGGCGGGGTTAAGGCGGGAGGGGGAGGAGGAAGGTGGACGGGAGTGCCAGTTGATTCACAATTCAATTACAACAACAACACACACACACACACACACACACACACACACACACACGCAAAAACGCGCGCACAAAAACGCGCGCACAAGAACGCACGCAGACTAGGTCTGAGTGTACCTAGTCCCCAAACCACCATGACACACAAGTTTACACGTTCCGGAAAATGATGTTGCAGATGTTTCATCGTGATAGAAAAACAGAGAGTGGAAAATATAGCAATCAGGGGCTGTTTGACCTGTTAAATGCCGTTCCCTTCTCATTTAAAATGTTCATTTAGAGTAATTTAGTGATGAACCAAATCGGGCCATGTTTCATTTAAGAAGCATTGCCTGGACTAGAATGGCGCTCATCAATATAATTTCCCATGACAGTACACTTTTCAGGATATGCTCTTATAATACATATTCCATTAATCAGAATGAGTCAAAAACTTTTTCATGATTTCATTACTGAATTTATTGGGTGAAAACGCTATGTCTACCTTATATCTATCAAAATTAGTTTGTGCAAGATGACAACGTATGTTCCAACGTGCTTTTTGTGTGTTGTGTGTGTGTGGGGGGGGGGGGGGTGGGGGGTTTTGTGGTTGTGGGGGTGTGGGGGGGGGGGGGATACTTTTATTATCTAAAATAGTCAAAAACAAAGACCGTGCATGGCTTCCTGGAAATCAAATCAAAGGTTTTTGGGGGGGTTTCTGCCACAATGAGGAAAAAAAAAAAAAAGGAAGAGTGTGGTCTGAACTAACCACTACTATTAAGAAACACCTTCCATGGCAACTGGAAGATTACAGAATAGAACAGTAATTCCCTCTTCTGCTGTGAGCAAAAGCCGGCGTCCAGAAACGTTGGAGGTTCTTCAAGAACACATTTCTTCCTTCCCCCTGAAATAAAAGCCTCTGTTCCAATCCACCCGCATCACGAACAACCTTGTTTGTACTTCGTCTTAAAGGATATGAACATCAATAGGACTGCTTGCAATGCATGCGAGTGTTTCTAAATGGGATGATGTGGATGGAGGCAGAGGAGCCCGGGATATCGATCACGTATGGATTTTCAAACCAGCGCCACTTCAGCAGTTCCATTAGCGGGCCTGGGTCAGGTTTCACTGCCCTGACAGGAGCCTCGTTTGGGAAGTGTGCTGGTGGGTTCTGTGGCGAAGGGAGTTGCCTTCGCAGCGGGGCGAAGAGGGGGAGAATGGACTGGGAGATGAGGGGGTGGGGGGGGAAAACTTGTACTTCATCTTAGTCAGTGAGTCTTTCTGAGTGGACATCTTTGTTGTCTGTTAATGAACTCCCTTGTATCTGTTTTTAAAAGGACAGCCTGCGTACTTTGGTGCCTTAGGGTGGCAATTAGAGTTTTTACGGTGCTGCTGACTAATACTCAGCTGGTGCTACTCAACACCGGTATAGCTCTATTTGTCTTCCTTGTTCCTTACCATACATTTATTGCAGAAAAAAAGTGTATTAACACAACTGAAGATTCGAGGAGCACAGGGGTAGGTGTTGGTATAATATGCCATCAAATATTTAAGGTGCGTCAGAATAACCAAGTCCAGGATCACTTTTTGGTTCCACTTGAAACGGAAGAATTCCATTGATGGTTTACTGTATGTTCCGGAGCTACTGTATAAACATTGTTATCTGTTCATTGGGTGACGATAAACGAAAGAACCGATAGAGGGACATACCACAGAATCAAGGAATTCAAAGTATGGTTCTCGTCTTTTCGAAATTCACTGGCACATTGTGTGGTGTTACCATTATATTACATAATTTGTTTCGACCAAAGCGGTGCAGTTCAGTACAGACTAGATCGGTGAACCTGATCGGGCTTGCCTACACGCCCAGCCGCGGGTATGTAGGTAAGCCTGATGCTAAATGCTGTGACATAACAGCATACCAGTGAGACAGCACATAATTAGGCAATTAAGTCAGAACAATAAATACGAGAGGATACGGAACGATGTTTTAACATTTTGTTTTCCTTGCCTTTGAATTAAATTCATTACGTAGCCTACAGAGGCGTATCATAAACACTGGCACCCAGGCTTGGCTTTTAGAGAACGCTTACCGTCCTCAACATTGGGTGATGGCTACAATACAGAGAAAAGCCGAAAAACTGCAATGGTAACATTCCGATTTCAAACCTTACTATGGGGAGCACAACCAAACTACTTGGCTGCTTTACAAAATGGCTGATCTGGACAATGATGAGTTCTGTCCAGCTTGTTTTTTTTTTTTTTTTTTTTTAATAGGATCATCACATGATCACAAAGATAGCCATGAAATGTGATCAACTGTGAACATTCAGTGCCATGATCAGATGCGGCAACATTGCACACTGCACAAAGTAAAAAAAACAACCATTGTTGGAAGATACGGTGTCATTTCCTGCTTTGACAAAGGTACTGCACGTTTACTTGAGCTAAAAATAAACTGAAAAGTTCACTGAGAACATTTGGGAGCAGAAAGTCTGAGAGCAGTTTTGTAATGCTCTTCACCTGCTTAAGGCCGTTGCCATGGTTTTGACAGTTGACTGGCGTTGCAGCAGAGCACATCCAGCTGATGCTGCAGTTTCTCTGGCACATCTGTGTCTCTTGCACGTCTATAATCTCCAAATGGAGCACCTGCTCCTTTTACCAGACTTTACTGAAAGGTTATTGAATTTGTGGCAATGCATACGGCTGCCGACTGAATGTTTTTCCCGTTCGTGTCAGACGAACCCCGTCTGCCCGACTTGGGTTGTTTATTTCGAGTAGCGACGCCCTATACGCATGTTTTTTTTTTGTCTGCATTCATCGTTTCAAATGTAATGGCTCAGATCAAGTAATCAATGCAAAGAACGTGTCTGATAATGTGCGCTCTGTGTGAATGGGCGTTGATCATGCGATCAATCAGTCGCTCATTCTCAGGCAACTCACCATGGGCACAGATGGGCGATGGACGCGCGCGCACGCGCATGCAAGGGCGCAGACAGTGAAAGAGTAAAACAGTAGGATCTTTGTGGCTGCTGTCTTGTGGCTCTGTGGCAGCTCTATCAGTGGCTCAGGCTGTCTGAAGGTGCCACAGGCTTGATGCCCCCCCCGCCCCCCCTGCTGAGATCTAAGGCTGAGCTGGCTGACTCGCAGCATAACTTAAAGAGCGTTTATTTGCGTGTGCGTGTGTGACTTTCCAATGGTGTTTAATGCGTTCTTGTGTCTCTTTCCCTTGTGCCTCAGCATTCCACAGTCTGTTCAGTTTGCGTGTGTGTGTGTGTGTGTGTGTGTGTGTGTGTGTGTGTGTGTGTGTGTGTGTGTGTGTGCGTGTGTGTGTGTGTGTGAGTGTGTGTGTGTGTGTGTGTGTGTGTGTGTGTGCGTGTGGTGTAAGTGCTTTGGGAGAGTAGAAGAGCCCCCCTGAATAAAGGCTTTTCTGTACAATTAGCTTTGCTAAAAAGGACATCTCTTCCTCCATTAGTGGCACCACGTGCCCCCCATCACTCCATTGTGCAGATAATTCAATTATCCCCACCCCCCTCCGAGTCTTTTTGCCTCCCAGACCTCCCTCTCGTCGTCTTGCCCTCCCTCTCTCCCTCCACCCAGCCCGTGAGGTTGCCAACATGCTCTCAGATAAAGCTCTGCTGAGGCAGCTGAAGGGAAAACGCATCCGTCCGCGGCTCTAATTTGGTTCACACTGAATGAATGAAGGTTGCGGATCGGGGGGAGTAGACGCACGCAACTGCAGCTTTATCTATCAGTCCTTGCTGAAAACATCACACGACTTTTATTTATGTGTTTGTTTGTTTTTTTTCATCATACTCATCTTTGAACCACAACAACACTCAAGGGTGCCATTTGATTGTGAGCTTCAATTTTTTTCCACTTTTCCATTGCTAAATATTAGATCGGGCAGATGGATAGAGAGAAGCACTTGACAAGATTCTCAACAGTCCTTGTCTTAATGCAAGTATATGTTTGTGCTCAGTTTATTTGCTAGTTGACTGACATTTTTCCAGTTATATAATATTTTGACTTCATCGCTGCATCGTTTTCTCAGAACAATCTGACTTAATTTAATTCTCCTCAAAGAATTATTCTTCTCTCTTCTCTAAAAATTCTGACTTGAATTCTCATACTACAATTACTTTTTCTTGAAAATCATGACTTTATCCGAAACCTCCCCCAACTTATTTTCTTGTAAAAATTCCAACTTTATTCGATCACTATTATTATTTTTCTCATTAAAGCTTCACTTTCTTCTCATAAAGTGTTGACTATTTCTCGCAATATTGTGATTTTTTTCTAGCATTACGCATTCACGTAAGATCACACTCATACTTTGTACTTATATCTACAACTTCATTTGTATAGTTTTTACAAATTATTTTGCGACATCATCCTTGCCAAATTGTGACTCCTCCCAATAATATGACTTCATTTTATGACATTCAGACATCACTGACAGGTATGTTGTGCTCCCCTCAACGTCTGAAGAATCCTGCCTAACTTGGATTATGAATTTCGGGGAGCATTACGTGTTTTTCTTCTCGATTGATACAAAGCAAATGTGACGAAATGGCTCAACCAAAGTAAAAATCCATGCTTAGAGCATGTCTGACAATGTACAAGCTACATTTGTGAATAGGTGACATTGAGCAACTAATCAATCATAATCACTCATTCTCAAGGCGGCTCAACGCAAACCCAGATGTGGAATGGACAGATGCATTCAGGGAGCACACAGCCCAACAGTAGGATCTTTGTGGCTGCTATCCAGTGGATCAGTGGCAGTTCTATCGGTGGCTCCTGCCATCTTAAGGGGTCATACTATGACTTCATAGGGGAAGAACAACTTCGCAATGTCATATATATATATATATATATATATATATATATATATATAAAACAATTGGACGTCACCGAAGAACTCCC